GGCAAGAGCTACGAGGAGAGGTTAGAAGCATTAAATATGCCAAAACTAGAAGACAGAAGAAAAAGAGGTGATATGATCACTACATACAAAATAGTTACAGGAATTGATAAAATCGACAGGGAAGACTTCCTGAGACCTGGAATTTCAAGAACAAGAGGTCATAGATTTAAACTAGCTAAACACAGATGCCAAAGAAATATAAGAAAATTCACCTTCGCAAATAGAGTGGTAGACGGTTGGAACAAGTTAAGTGAGAAGGTGGTGGAGGCCAAGACCGTCAGTAGTTTCAAAGCGTTATATGACAAAGAGTGCTGGGAAGACGGGACACCACGAGCGTAGCTCTCATCCTGTAACTACACTTAGGTAATTACACTTAGGTAATTACACACACACACACACACACACACACACTCACTCACTCACTTCCTGTCCCCAGCAAAACAAATTATTTTCTGTATTAAAACTGTCATTAAAGCAAGTATGAATTTGGGGTGTAATTACACTTCCATAATGTCAACATTGCATAAAACAAATTCCATCTTTTTATAATAATCCCAAATCTGCAGTGCCTAGTTACAATAGGATTTTTCTTTTCACCATTACACTACAAAGGTAGTGACTTTTTTAAATCAATACAGTATACAAAAATATCAAACTAATGAGAATTACAGTATAACAAACTACTAAAAGTATGTACACAAACCAGTGAAAAGAGACATCACAAAAACTAAGATGAATTAGAAACTGGTAATTTTTTAATTTAACCTGCTAAAGATCATAAAGCAACCATAATAAGTATACATTAATAAAGTAATATCAAGTGAGGGAACATCTGAATGAAGAACAAGGTCAGTACAAAAATTATTGCAGCACAGAAATCAGCTAGCTGAATACACTAACTCTCGGAGTATGGTTTTCATCATATGTTGCTTCCTGGGGTAATGTGGTTATCATGTGTTTTGATTTAAAGCACTATTGTCTGGGTTTTACATGCATGTTGCTAATATGGATATAATAGCTCGTCGTGGTGTAATGGAGTGATTTGACACAAAATTCTGCTATCATTTCACGATTACCTTTAGTATGTGAATGAGGTTATCGTCACAAATGTCACTGTGCAATACAATGCTCATACTATTCAAATCACTTGTGCTGTCCCATCTTGAGTACTGCTCGATACTCGCTACAACCATAAAGCACCTAAATTATTGGGCTTGTCTCAAAGCTCTTCAAATGTACTCTTTAGAAAGGAGACAAGAAAGGTATCAAATAATATATACGTGTAAAATACTGGAGAGGTCAGGTCACAAATTTTTACTGTAAAATAACAACATACTGGAGTGAAAGATATGGAAAGAAATGCAGAATAGAGGTGCAATAGGCACAGAGAATACTGCATGAAAATCAGAGGTCCATGGTTGTTCAACATCCTCCCAGCAAGCTTAAGAAATATTACTGGAACAAAAATATATGATTTCAAGAGAAAACTGGATAGTTTTCTTCAAGAAGTGCTGGACCAACCGGGCTGTAGTGGATATGTGGGTCGCTCCAAGCAACAGCCTGTTGGACAAAGCTCTCACTAGTCAGGCCCCAGGCCGGGCTTGGGGAGCAGAACTCTCGGAACCCCATCAAGGTATGCAAGTAAGTAAGTAATTATCATTGTATAAAACTCCATCATAACAACATATGTAATACAATAAAAGAAACATCTAAGGTAAACACTGGAGTTGTCTCATAGTATATTGCAAGCAAAGCCAACATCGGGTGTTGACAGATGATACCTACCTACCGACCTTGTTGTAATTCTAAGAATCAACATCCCTGTGGCCAGGTCTCTGACTAAGCCTCCAGGTTGGTGGTCTGGTCAACCAGGCTGGCCCAGATCACCAACACACCTCATCCAACCAATAAGAAAAATATTTTTAAGATTTTCTTACATTTTGTATACAAAATAATTCTATGAATTTATTATTATTATTATTTTTGTTGAATTTTTAGATTTTTTATGCATAGGAAGGTATGGCCATATTTCAACAGCTAAACATTGAGGGTTAAAATATGCACAAGCTTGATACAGAACTAAATCAACAAGCACAATACATAAATTAATGAAGTACAAGCTGAATACACGAATGTCAGGTCATTAAAAAGCTTGCAACATATTCTTGTTTCAAACCTTAAACCTACTTTATGAAACTATATTCAAAATGGTTACAAGTCACAAAAATCCAGATTTACAGGCTAATGAAAATGCCTTAAGAATACAATAAATATTTGTTGAACTTCAAGTTTATATAAATTCAGGACAAGATCTTTTTTAGGTAAATTGATTTACAAAATGAGAAGACAATATAAATATATTTTTAATTAAAGCTCGGCTAAATTGATTAGCTAGTACAGTGACACCTCGGCTTACGAATGCCCCTATTTATGAACTTTTTGGGTTACGAGCCCAATTTTTTCGTAAAATGTAAATTGGCTTATGAGCTTTGCCTCGAGTAACGTAGTTGGTTGATATACGTATGGGCGACCTAACGCGTGGTTCCTGGTGGCACAGTTGCCCGTGCTTCAGTTTACCAGTGCCTCCCACTTAGTGACGATCGTGCATGAATTCTTTGTAAAGAATTTCATTGTTTTTCGGCATTTTTAGGTTTTGAACATAAGTCATTATTATATATCATGCCATAGGTCCTAAGAAAGTAAGTGGTAAAGTTCAACCTAAGAAAACACATGCAAGGATGATCATAAGAGCAAAAACAAGAGATCATTCACAAACAAAGAAATGGTATATGGGTTGTTGAACTAGCTAGGCAGAACAACAAATCTATGTCAATGATATTCACTGTAATTGCTGAGAAAAAGGACATTATGAGTGCTAAAGTAGCAAAAGGCATATAAACAATCACGAAACAAAGAACACAAACACTTGAGGATGTTGGAAAGTTGTTATTAATTTGGAAACGCAACAAGGAGTTAGGTGATAGCATTTCAGAGGCCATCATTTGTGAAATAGCAAGGCTATTGCATGAAGACCTTTTAAAGAAAACCCCTGGAACAAGTGATGCAGCAGATATAAAAGAGTTTAGGTGAGCAGGGGATGGTTTGAGAAATTTAGAAAAAGAAGAGGCATTCACAGTGTTGTGAGTTGGAGGAACACAGCGAAGAACTGACAACCAAATAACTCTTAGCCCTTCACAAGGAGCAGCAATGAAACCACTGAGGAAATTTTTTAGGGGAGGAGGAGGCAGTACAGAGTGTCCCTTCTTCAACAATTAAGAAGTGGTGCAGACTATGGAAAGAAATGCAAACCTTTGTTGATACAACTCACCCAGAGCAAGCTGTAGTAGGCCATTGCCTTAACCTTTTTAATGACACTGTGATGCCTTGCTACAGACAAGTGTTACAATGTGGGGAAAAACAAGTCTCTATGGAAAGGTTTTTAGTGAGAAAAACAAGCAGTGAGCCACAGCCAGGTCCTAGTGGTATGCAGGCAAAACATAGGAGAGAGAGAGAGTACCCCTAAGAAGTTGTCACTGCCTGGTGTTATACTAGAAAGGGGCTCTCCCTTCCAAACACTAACACCTCTCCTCCTCCCTCCCTCCTCACTGTCTTCTATATGCCAACAAGTCATCAATAAAGGTAATCTATAACTTGTACATGCTATAGTATTAAATATTTGTGTGAATTAGGTATGAAATCTATTTTGAAGTTAATATTTTTGGGAGTGTGGAACGGATTAATTCAATTGACATTATTTCTTATGGGAAAATCTGTTTCAGGTTGCAAATTTTCAGCTTACGAACCGTCTCTGGGAATGGATTAAATTTGTAAATGGAGGGGGCCACTGTACCTAATTAGTAATAAGATTTGCATTTGAGCATTACTGCTAGTCAGTTTTTATATAGATAAAAAAACAGCCTGTACATACAGGCTCACAAATCATCAAGCATTTACAGTTCTACTTAAGAGACCTGTATAACTTTCCTTCATTGGCCTAGTTTATATTCAACAGGTTATGAGCTTGGAAACTTTACAACCTGAGGTTGTTATTGTTATGGACAATCTTACAGCACCTCAGAGATCAAATTATTTTATAAACAAAACTGCCATGACAGGAGAAATTTTTTGTCATACTGAGAACTTTGCTAATGTGTAATAGTTCACAAAACTTTGTTACATTCATTTTGCTAAATATCTGAATACTTCTCATTTCACTATTTGTGAAGTGCCAAACCCAAATGATAAGCATAATTACAAGCACGAGTACCTTGCACTGTGCCAAACCTGCTTCACATACCCTAAATTCACTAGTGGGTGTTCACCAAGGTGACTATCTTTAGACTTGTATGCAGTATCTACATTTATGTGTAAACATCCTCAAGATGCACATAATTAGTGATTTTCTATAAAAATTAAATATCTATACAAGGCATGTTGTCTGCTTTGGAAAAAGTTCAACAAAGAGGGACAAAAGTCATCCCAGAAGTAAGTCAATTCTCATGCCAGAAATGGTAGAGGGCCACAGCACTAACCACACATGCCAAACAGACATAGAGGGCTAATCTCAAGACCTTTAAAATACTGAATACGTTGGGGATAATAATCCAGACCACTTCTTTAAGAGGGTAAATATGTAACAAACAAGGAATAACAGCTTCAACCTCAACAAGCCAAAATGTAGGGTAGGAAATGGGAGATGTTTTTTACCCATAGTCCATAAACCCATGAACCCACCTACCCAGTGAAGCTGTAAATGCCAAGACATTACTTCAGTTTAAAATCTAGATAGAAAACATTCCCAAGGGTAGACCTTTGACAAGCTTTTGACTTCCAGGCCTTGTTAAGGCTACTAGGGAGAGTGGTTTTCAGCCAACCTGTCCTCAGGAAGATCCCTGAGAGATAATGGATTAAAACAATACGTAATTACTGTTACTATCTACTCTATCCATGGTTAGGTTAGGTTTCATTATGTTTGGTTACATTAATACAGTTATTATCTGTAATGTGAAATATGAAATTCGGAAACTATTTAGTGCACCCTAACATGACTACATGTATACATGATCCCCCCCCCCCACCTAATTGCACCCAGTTCCAGTGTCAACATCAAGAGTAGTCTTGTTTGCATCCTAGTGCCCAGAGGCAACCTTGGACTTCTTGGGTAACAATTCTGGTAGTGCTCCTTGCTGACCAGATAGAATTACCTTATAACTGGAAGAATGGCAGATAGTGTGGTATTGCACATACCCAACATCTATATCTCTCTGTATTGATAAACCATGTGGCATCATCAACCAAAGGGAAGCAAAGAATGTAAATAATTACTGTAGTTTTGTCCCAGTAGGATAACATCAGGCAAGGAACAAAAGTGACAACTCTCAAAGAGTTACTCAATGAAGCAACGAAATCCAAGAGCTTCCTATTCCACCACTTCATGACAATCCACAGTAAAAATGCCTACTGCATCCTTGGTTCCAACCTGTCCTCTAATCTAGCTTGAAAAAAACAAAATCAGGACAGCCCAGCATTGAATGTAATGAAACTACCAGTAAAAAAGTCCCACTGGCTCTCTGAAGCTATCTGGCCAATATTGCTTCACATTAATGGGTTACATCAGTCAAAGGGTTTGTTTGGCCTACTGGGAATCAGAGCCAGAACCTAGTCCCAAACAGGTGTAGAGAGTGACAATCTCCCACCCCACTGGGAAAAGAATCCAGAAAATCAATGAAGCTTTACAGACAACTGGAGGGTTCGCAAAAAACAAAGCCTCGAAACTTCCAAATACTGTACTGTAACTCTTAAACAGTTTGCACAGGTCAAGAGTTTCACTCAAAACTAGCTAAACTCAGTACTGATAGCCACCACCAGGTGGCCCAGCCCCCAGCTGGCATCCCAGGTCAATTTTGGAGCTGGAGAACAACTCATTGATGAACTGATGAACCAGGGAGGGAGGGAAGGAATTGGGGAGCCACCGGGAATTTAACAGAGATTTCATTACAGTCAAATGTTGGGTTTCTGCAAGCGCCTCCCCCCCCCCCCCTTCCCACTCCCCCCTTCCCCCAAGTGGTTGCCTGAAGCTAATTAACCATCAAGAACAAAAACATGGGGCTTTCCAGAGAGGAGGAGAGGTGGCAGATACCAAGATGGAGAAAATTCAGGATGGGAGACAGCCCAAAACAACACCTGACCGATTGGGACTAGGAATATTAATGAAATATCAGCGGCGGCCAGCACCCCATTACAATGCCAAATATCAGCCCAGGACTTGTTGGAAAAGCAGCTGCTTAGGCAGCATACTTAAGAACATCGTGGGCCCAAGGGTAGACCGCAGGCTGGCTAGACAATGACACTGTAGGCGACCTGGGAAATGCTAGCTTGGAACAGGGGACCAAGGAAACAGGGTCAACTAACAAAGCATCCACCAAAACAGAACAGGTAGCCTGCAGGTAGTGGCAAAGAGCCACCACTGGACCAACTTTGACCAACAGAAGGTGAAACCACAACTCTACCTGTCACTAAGGAAACAAACATGCTGAAAAAGCATTAGAAACTTCTCTTTTGTAAACAAAGTGGTAGACAATTGGAGCAAATTAAGCAAGAAGGTGGTAGATACTAAAACCCTCAGTAGTTTCAAAGCGTCATGTGATAAGTATCAGGAAGACACCATGAGTAGCTACTCACCGTGAGAGTAGCTCTTATCTTGTAACTACACTTAGGTAATTACATATACAAAAGAGCTGAAGATCAACGCCTACAAGCACAACTAGCCAAATACATGGCTCAAAATCTATGGTAAAAACTATATGTAATGGAACATTTCATGTTCATTTTCACATTTGTAACATCACTCTTCCCACTTTTGCAAAGAGGTCATGCTATCCATACTATAATGGAGAGGTCCTATCTATACTATAGTAAAGAGGTCATACTAGCCCTCCTCTTGCATCTAAAATCTCAAAATGAGGCAATTGTCCCTGAATCTTGTGGCAAACACAAATATAAGCTTTACTTGTGGCAATAACTACTAAGATTGTAAATGCATATAAAATATAAATACTGAAATGCATAGTAATATTTTTTTACATCAATAAACCAATATTTAATGAATATCGTTATCCTGATGTTAAAAAAATTCTGAATCATCATATTTGGCTGCTCCTTACACAAGTGTATAGTAAAAAAAAAAAATAATTGCACTGAATGTACACAGTATCGAGTATTTTCCTGTTGTTACATTACAAACATTATTTTCTGTATTCTCACACAGACTTAAAATGATTAAAGTTCAATGAAGGCAGTTCAAAACTCTATCATATATTTCAACAAATATTCACCATTCTGCTTCATGAGACTAAATCAACTATTTTATAAAAATTGCACAAAAATATAATACCTTTGTTACTCTTACTTATGAAATACTGTAATTACTCATCTTCACTTTCTAATTCATCTATAAGGCTAGCAAAATCATAGACAAACCAGGTTGCTGTGTTTCTTACAGCTTCTCGTACAATATTCCCCCCAAATCCTGAAACAAGAAAAGGTAAGATTAATGAATGATTTTATCAAGTTATTATCAAGTTATTGCCATACATTGGTATCTTCCCTAGCTCTTTGAGCTGAACAGACAATACCTACCGGGCTCTGAGTAACACCCTCAGTGCTGTTGGGCGTTACAGAGGGAAACCTCCCTGAAATTTTAAGTTCAATGTAATGAAATACTCTTTCTGGTAAGCTCTTGTTTCTGCCCTGTTCCTTTCTTTCTCATGGGGGGTGTTTAGGGTTCAATACTGGTAGCTCATGAGTTGGGTCAGCTGCTGGTCAGTCACCTGGCCCACCATGTAATGACAGTTGGGAACAACATTGTTTTCCCAGCAGCAATAGTCATTTGCCTTGTGTGTATCAGGAATAATTTTTTTCAAATAATGTTTTGTATTTTTTGCCTAACCTTCCATTTCATTTTCTTAATTTTGGGTAGATCTCTCTTTGCCAAGCACTTACCGTTGTAGAGCATGCCACATACCGGTCCTCAATTCTGATAAACCAGTCTCTGAGCATTGGTGCAGTTCGTAATGCTTGGCTACACTAGAAAGTAAAGTCCACATCACTACCGAGGGGATCCTCTCAAAAAAAAAGACAAACACCCCATCGAGAAAGAACAAACCTGTGAAATGATGAAGTGAAATCCACCACCAGCCTTCCCAGCAAATGATGATAGCATGAATAAATGAAAGAGTAAGAGTAAACATGAAAAGCTCCAAACAGATTTGTGAACCATCTATGCATACTGCAACCAATCCATTGGATCAGGTGGAGATTCGGATATATCACTACATGCGCGCAAAGTGAAAGGAGAGCTGTAAATTAGAGCAGGACTAGCCACTAGGGAGACAACAGAATCACATGGTCCATAAAGCTTACCAGTACAACAAAAATGGAGAAACAAACTGCCACCTGGTGTAGTACAGACTCTACACCCATTTGGTTGGTATTTGCATGCCAACCTTTCAAACAGCCATACAAGCAGTTGTTGTGTTGGCTTACTACATTGTTTCTATATCCATATTGATATAAATTTATACGAAGGTACAAAAAATAACCCAATGTACCTTCCTGTATATAAATAAATAAATAAATATGAACTTTCTAAGTACGACAAGTTTCCTTTATTCTTGTGTTCTTATGTATAACTTGCCTATAAAAGCATCAGCGGGTGGGCAAGCCTCCATGTCGGTTGCTCCATCACCAATCATAACGATGTTTGAATAACCTTCCCTCTTCTTTAGGTAGGCGATGACTTCTGCTTTACCACCTGACTTGCTTGTTGGTTGTGCTTCATCAAATCCACCATATTCACCTGTAAAATGTAATTATTTATAACCTCTGGAAATAGAGCTCCCCTCCCTAAAGTATAGCTAACAAAACTTGTTCTTACTCTTATAAATAATGGAAGGAAAATATTATATAAAATATATATATATATATATATATATATATATATATATATATATATATATATATATATATATATATATATATATATATATATATATATATATATATATATATATTAGTATATTTTGGTAGCAGTCTTTCCTGTAGACATATATTATTAAATATGACCGAAAAAGTAAGATTAATAATTCTAACACGAATTTTCTCAATCTTTCGTACATTACGCTTCACTGTTGGAGGTAAATAAAAAATCACTTCTCCAAAATTCATTTTTATTTCTAGTCTGACGCGACACGGGCGCGTTTCGTAAAACTTATTACATTTTCAAAGACTTCACAAATACACAACTGATTAGAACTTGCGTTTCTCTGATTTTATATCTACATTTGAGTGAGGTGGGAAGGGTGATGTGGCATTAACACAAGACAGAACACTAGGGGATATTAATAGGGTATTAAAAGTATCAACACAAGACAGAACAGAAACAATGGGTATTGAATAGAAGTGTTTGTAGAAAGCCTATTGGTCCATATTTCTTGATGCTTCTATATTGGAGCGGAGTCTTGAGGTGGGTAGAATATAGTTGTGCAATAATTGGCTGTTGATTGCTGGTGTTGACTTCTTGATGTGTAGTGCCTCGCAAACGTCAAGCCGCCTGCTATCGCTGTATCTATCGATGATTTCTGTGTTGTTTACTAGGATTTCTCTGGCGATGGTTTGGTTATGGGAAGAGATTATATGTTCCTTAATGGAGCCCTGTTGCTTATGCATCGTTAAACGCCTAGAAAGAGATGTTGTTGTCTTGCCTATATACTGGGTTTTTTGGAGCTTACAGTCCCCAAGTGGGCATTTGAAGGCATAGACGACGTTAGTCTCTTTTAAAGCGTTCTGTTTTGTGTCTGGAGAGTTTCTCATGAGTAGGCTGGCCGTTTTTCTGGTTTTATAGTAAATCGTCAGTTGTATCCTCTGTTTTTTGTCTGTAGGGATAACGTTTCTATTAACAATATCTTTCAGGACCCTTTCCTCCGTTTTATGAGCTGTGGAAAAGAAGTTCCTGTAAAATAGTCTAATAGGGGGTATAGGTGTTGTGTTAGTTGTCTCTTCAGAGGTTGCATGGCTTTTCACTTTCCTTCTTATGATGTCTTCGATGAAACCATTGGAGAAGCCGTTATTGACTAGGACCTGCCTTACCCTACAGAGTTCTTCAACTCTGTAGGGTAAGGCAGGTCCTAGTCAATAACGGCTTCTCCAATGGTTTCATCGAAGACATCATAAGAAGGAAAGTGAAAAGCCATGCAACCTCCGAAGAGACAACTAACACAACACCTATACCCCCTATTAGACTATTTTACAGGAACTTCTTTTCCACAGCTCATAAAACGGAGGAAAGGGTCCTGAAAGATATTGTTAATAGAAACGTTATCCCTACAGACAAAAAACAGAGGATACAACTGACGATTTACTATAAAACCAGAAAAACGGCCAGCCTACTCATGAGAAACTCTCCAGACACAAAACAGAACGCTTTAAAAGAGACTAACGTCGTCTATGCCTTCAAATGCCCACTTGGGGACTGTAAGCTCCAAAAAACCCAGTATATAGGCAAGACAACAACATCTCTTTCTAGGCGTTTAACGATGCATAAGCAACAGGGCTCCATTAAGGAACATATAATCTCTTCCCATAACCAAACCATCGCCAGAGAAATCCTAGTAAACAACACAGAAATCATCGATAGATACAGCGATAGCAGGCGGCTTGACGTTTGCGAGGCACTACACATCAAGAAGTCAACACCAGCAATCAACAGCCAATTATTGCACAACTATATTCTACCCACCTCAAGACTCCGCTCCAATATAGAAGCATCAAGAAATATGGACCAATAGGCTTTCTACAAACACTTCTATTCAATACCCATTGTTTCTGTTCTGTCTTGTGTTGATACTTTTAATACCCTATTAATATCCCCTAGTGTTCTGTCTTGTGTTAATGCCACATCACCCTTCCCACCTCACTCAAATGTAGATATAAAATCAGAGAAACGCAAGTTCTAATCAGTTGTGTATTTGTGAAGTCTTTGAAAATGTAATAAGTTTTACGAAACGCGCCCGTGTCGCGTCAGACTAGAAATAAAAATGAATTTTGGAGAAGTGATTTTTTATTTACCTCCAACAGTGAAGCGTAATGTACGAAAGATTGAGAAAATTCGTGTTAGAATTATTAATCTTACTTTTTCGGTCATATTTAATAATATATATATATATATATATATATATATATATATATATATATATATATATATATATATATATATATATATATATATATATATATATATATATATATATTATATTATATTATATTATATTATATACGGTATATATATATGTACTCAGAAAGAGTGTTGATGCTGAAACCATCAATCTTATTCTACATGGGACAAGAAATACACCTTGGGGTACAATTTCACAACAGGGTTTTAATGAACAACACAGGATTATTTTACACTGAATAGATATGAGGGGGGGAAGGGGGGGTTACTTTGAATTGTCACAGAATTGTTGAGATCAAGAGGGATAACATCCAGCAAACATTAGTCTTAGGGATGTATTGATTATTGGATCCACACAAACTGGGACTTAAGGTCACCACCCTACTCCACACTTCCCTGGTAACTACAAAGGTAGCATGGGTTTTAGCAGTAAAAGTTCCGATACTTTAAACACTTTACAAATGAGGATCACAGTTGATGAGGGTATAGACCACATGTTACAGAAATCTAAGTGAAAGAATCAAAAGAATTAAAATAACACAAGACACCACCTACACACACAGGGTTCTACAAATATTCTTAGTTTTAAAACTGCCTATCACTAATTTATACAGAGATGAAGCACTACTATAGTATGCATGGGGTATGATGCACGTATCGTTATTGTAGGAGACCGCCACACAAGCGATGACCGGACTGTTCTCCAACCCTGCCCAAAACCAAGTGGACGAGACAGCTAGCTCATGTGTCCAACCGCCTGGTTACAATAATGTTTCATACACACACGTGTTTCACACATGTGCTTCTAAAGATATGGGCGCCATACAACTGCGACATATTGCAACTTTGATCTTGTAAAGGTCATGAACAATTTCTTTAGTATGTCACCATCCATGTATTTAAAAGCAACTCTGAAATTGGAAAGCGTGGCATAAGGTCCATGCACAATGTTTTTATATTGTCCTTGGGTGATCTTTTCTATTTAGAACCACCCCTAGATCTTTTTCCATTATCTAAATTCTTCAAAGCCTTTTCATATAATGCATATTCAAATGTGGGTTTTTGAGAAGGCCTCTTTCTGGAAACCCTCTGTGGCTACTCCAGGAGTATTTCATATCATTCAGCACTGGATTATTCCATTCCTTGTGTAACCAGTGTCTAGAATATCATCCTGTCTCACTGCGCATGAATTTTATCTTGCATGACTTTACCCGATTGCCTCGACAGACAGAGGAAGCCGGCACCTTGTCAAATGTACCCTATTATTCCAGAGAATACTTACCATTAGGAAGCAACATTGAAACGTCGCAGAAATATAGTCAAATTTATAGGAAGACAATGTAATAAAGCCAGGGGCATGTTCAGTTGCAGTTATAATTGACAATATGTAGTGAATTTGAAAAACTCACCATCAAAAAAGAATTTAAGTCGATTGGCAAAGATATTTTCCAATGGAATGTTGAGCATCTTGGCTACAGGTGCAATAAGAGATACGAATCCTCCAGATACCAAATAGACATCCACATCACGTGCTTGTAAGGCAGCAACCAGTCGGCTGAAAAAATCAAATACAGTAATTACATTGTAAAAACCGAGACTAATTCCCATCGTCAGGAAAAAGAAGCCTATCCTCACACTTACTGATGTCCACCTAGGCCAATTGACCTTTGCTGGGATGCAACCCACAACAACTGCTGAACTCCCAAACACACATTTAACTTCTAGCTGAACATAATTCATCATATGAAAGGAAAGGAGTCCATCCATTTCTGTCATTCACAGGGAATGAACCTTGTACTGTACCACCGACTGCGAGCCAAGGATGTATACAACCACACTACAGAACTAGGTTACTTACCATCTGAGATACAATAAAGGTTAAGATGTGCAAATCGTAAGTCTTATATGTGCAATTCACAAATTATTAATCCTCTGTATACACATTGCACAATAAATGTATGTTCTTGAATTCTTTGCATGGTGCTACATAGACTTCCCGGCTTGGTGCCTTCTTTGATAATTACTTACTTTAATTCTATGCAATCGACACAAAATTATAGCTGGACATACTATGTAAAATAATTATATGTAGTTCTACTAAGCCAACTTGCTGTAATTCACTGGAAATAGTTCATTAAGTTTATCTAGTTTCATTTTAGCCGAGTGTTACTATATTTCACAAATCAATATTGACAGTCCTAGCAGTTGAAGAAAGAAACACATTCCAAATGAATTAAGAAAGTTACAGCTGGGCCACTCCTCTTTCTCATTCACATCAACACCCTTCCAAATTCCACTCAACACCGGAAGCCAATTCTATTTGCTGATGACAACCTTCACTTTCTCCAATGCTAACCTACTTATTTTAAAGGACAGTGAATATTGAACTAAAAAAAAGTTTTGAATGTAATCCCTGTGACGCAGTGGTAGCACACTCGCCCCATGCTTTGGGAGTTCGTATCCTGGCCGGGGAGGATTGACTAGATGCCAATCCTTAACTGTACGCCTTTATTCACCCAGCAGTGAATGGATACCTGGTTGTTAAATGACTTGGCGAATCGTATTCCAGAGAAAATTAGAATTAAGGACCTGCCCAAAATGCTATGTGTGTTAATGGCTTAACAAGAATGCAAGAACTCTGATGAAATGCCCATTTCTAGGCGAGCTTCGATGGCTTCCTGAAGCTACTATATACTGATGAAGTACCATCTACTAGGTCACATCAACTTGGACATTAGTTTCAATTACATTTGGACCACTGTGTACTTAGCTGCATAATTTGCTGGTCTTCATGAATCATTTGCATATTTGTTTGGCTGTTTCGAGGCTTCATTTCCTGTCAACCTTCCAGATTTATGTAAAGCTTCACTGAATTTCTGGATGCTTTTCTGGTGTAGTGACAAACTGTCACACACTCCTTGCACCTCTGTGAGGGAGTAGCCAGGTTCTTACATTAATCCCAGGTAGGCCACTGGGGCATTATCAGAAAGAGGAGTTTTATTACATTCAACTTCAGGTTTTTCCATTTTAACTCTTGAGTAATTTTCATAATTTCAAAGACTTGCCCCTCACAGAAATAAAAGCTGCACATGTGCAGCTGAGCATGTGCAACACCCTGGGGAATGCCACTAGCAGTCTTTTAATACCATCAATATAATGAGGGATTACTCCACTGGCAATTTTTCATCAACATATTTCTGTGCAATGATTCACCAGTGTTCGTATAATTTAAGGTCCAAAAATCCACATTTCTCACAAGGTCAGTAGTTAGCTTAAGGAGACTTTTGGTAAGGCTAATGAGCCACCTGTCCCTGACTATACAAAACCTTCACTTTAAATCACAATTATTATTAGGTATAACAAAAGATTGATACATTTGAGCAGAATCACAGAAAATCAACCTACAAAAATCAAGCATTAAATGTACTGTAATGAAAGGTTCTTTTCTGGCAGGCCCCAGTAGCTCCTTGAGCTTATAAACCAGTACAGTACAGTTTAACTAATCCCAAGCCCAACACATCAAGCTTCCGAAATCTATCAGTCACCTATTTTAAGTCAGGATGAGAATCTGGCTCAGTCTACAAGGCATGGGGAACAATTTCTGCTATATTCTACTATGATCAAATAAGTTAGGTACATTGATGGAGGTCAATTATTTATGATTATTGCAATGTCCGAAGGGCAGCCAGTCACTAACATTTCTTCATTAGTTAAACATTCTGTAACTTTTCCCATGCTTTTAATAGATTCTTGCCTTTCTTCTATCTTACTTCTCTTAGTAGGATACCCATTTCTCACATGCTTACAATACAGACAAGAGAGCATGCCACACACTATAAATTGCTTTGTAGAATTCCTACAAATTTCAAGTTTTTCGTCACCATAATTACCATATCATGGAACTTTGCCGTAACTCCGTATAACTGTGTGCTGGGGAAGTCTAAAACATACTCCTCGATCATATACCAACTCCCAAAACAGTGGCTCAGACTGGTTCAAACAGCCACTGACAAAATGAAGTCCATGTCACAAACTGAACACATTTCATGTAGCTGGCTTCACCCTACTTAGTCACAGGTATGTCCTCGACACTCTATATAGTACTGTATTGCTAATACAATATTACTATAATTAATCTAAACATTAATATTTATATTATTAATTCATAATTATTATATTTTTCATATATTAATTTTGTGATACTTTACCCATATCTTTAACAAAAGCAGGAGGTCTAGTCTGCAGTCTAAAGATTAATCTTTGAATTTTATCAATAATAAATGTTAAGAAAGTTTTTATTGGCCTTATTCTGTGAATTTTAATTTCCGATTAAAATAGAAACACTTTCTGCTCACACACACAAAGAATACGTACTCAATATCCCTAGTGAGTATAGGTGGGTGGGCTCTCGTAAATTTTTGTATCGTGTCCAATCTTGGCTGCAGGAGATCAAGTCTGGTCCTTAAAGCTGTCCTAAACTCCATACCTCCTTGCATAGCTCTTATTGTTCTGTAGGGAAAATATTATTATTACCACAAATGCTTATACCAAATTTTCAACTTAAATGCACATCTAAACAGTTCCCTCTGATTAACAGTACTATGTGGAAAAACCTGCATTGAATATAATGAAATGCCTCTTTCTGGGCGGGCTCTGGTGGCTCTCATAAGCTATCTCACTTCTGAGTAGCGGTAGCCCTCAGCAAAGCAGGAGAGGTGCGCCAACAAGCAGAAGAAACTGACAACAGGCGATGCCCCAGCTCTACCTGACTGCCTGCAAGAATGAGAACCCCAAAAACAACGGAGGTCCAAAATAGAATTATAAGCAGCAGCCAATGAAGAAACAAAACCAAGATAACTTCCTCGGGAAAGAGGAAAGGAGAAAATGTGGATGTAGACAATAAAGCCAAGACCCACACTGATTAAAAGGACTGAACCAACATAGCCTGCTGATAAAAGTTAGTTTGTTAAATAATAAAGAATTTTATTTTGTAATTATTTTTAATATTTATTAGTTATTAATTATTATTAATAATTATTATTATTATATTACAATTGACAAAGCAGTAGTAAATTTGCTAACTGACAATTAGCAGTCACTGTGGCATAGTGGTAAAATACTCGCCCGGCGCTTCGTGAGGACTTTGGCCTGGGTTCGTATCCTGGCCAGGGAGTATTGACTGGGCGCCAATCCTTTAACTGTAACCTCTGTTCACCCAGCAGTGAATGGGTACCTGGTTGTTAAACGATTTAGCAGGTTGCATTCCGGGGGAAAATTAGGATTAATGACCCGCCTGAAATGCTCTGTGTGCTAGTGGTTTTACAACAATGTAACAACCGTTTTGTGTGTGTGTGTATATATATGTGTATAATTATATACTATATATTAATTATTCAACAGAGCAGAAGTAGTTGTTAAACACATGGGACAAAATCTTACTGAAGCAACCATACAAGTCATAAATACTTATGGCATACAAGCCATAAACATATAAAACTTACAATTTTTTAACCTCTTCAGCTTTGCCACAGAAACTGGCCAGCTGGTCGAGTCCTTCATCCACAATGACTGTGGAGTCCACATCAAAGCACACAGCATCCGCCAGCCTCCATATTTCACGACTCTCTTGCCAAGATGGTAGTCTGCTGCGGACTGTAAGAAATGTTTAAAATTAGCATCAGTGTATAATATTTATACACATTATAATACATTATTTATACACATTTATATTTTGTTCATAATTCCAAATGAAATGTATGCTAAAATGTAATGAAAGACAAAAAGGTATTCTTTCAGATGGACATGAACAGGGACGAGAGACTCCAGACAGCAGATGCAAGGAAGAGGCACAGGGAGAGGGAAGGGGGACCAGGGAACCGAAGTCCCCAACCAAACAATCCCAGAAGAGAGTGGGGAACCCACAACCAGCAATTCAGAAACCAGAGAACTTCAACCAACCCGTCCTCTTAAAAATAATGTCACTTTTCGCTAGTATGCTCGCTATGGCCAAAAATGGATGTAATTTGAAATGAAATCGGCTTATGAAAGTGATGTACTGTCATGTTTTCTGTTTGAGTTCTCCGGCTTACTCGGTTAGGTTAGGAGAGGAAACATTCATTTAATGTTTTTTATGACATTTTGAAACTTTAGGAGAATTTCCTGCCCTCCTAATCTACCAGATGACCCTTAACTTGCCGTTTTGGAAAAATAAAATCCAAAATTTATTTCAATTTTTTTGTATTTTCAAATTATGTCTATTTTCGGCCATACGGACAAACGACCAAATTCAGACGTAATTTGTAAGAGGACAGGATGACTTCAACACCACCTGCCATCCTCCTGGGGTGGGGGCTCCACTATTATATGTGGTATTACAGCATGGAGTCTGTATCTAGTCAAGCATAAGACTAAACATAAGCATAAGAGATGGTTCAAAGGGTCGTTCCATCTGGACCTTAAACTCTTGCTAGAAGGTTGTAGCTGGGGTTGTAACAGAATCCTTGGGCGGGGTCACGTGAACAACAACAACACACAACACACACGTGGACAAAGAAGTCGCTGCTGCTGGCACTAAGCGAGCTGCGTCACAAACATAGCGAATCTCGCTAACACTAAAATAAAAAGCCCCCAAAAATACAAAAAATAAAAGAAGACAGATCGAATAGATAGACTATCTAATAGGTAGGCTGACTACAGAAGTACAGTAGTACAGTTAGGCTGAAAGATGAAATTGGCGCCATTGCCAAGCGACATATAAGACTGGCCGCGTCTACCCTTTCCAACCATTCAGCTCCAACGGTGATTTTTGGCTAAAAAAAAATATGAGCAACAAGGCTATTCCACAAACGCAAAAAAAACAGCATCGAGTAAATATGACGATGCTCCCCGCGTGACGTCACTTCGCCAACCTGTTTGAATCATCACATATCCACGTAATTATCCAATCCAACATCGACAATCCATGTAATTACAAGGTTCTTCAGGCGCGCGCGTGTGATCGTCTGACTACACAGGAGTTACCTAAACAGGTCGGGTGAAAGTTGTTTAGCAGGAGATGAAGTACAGTAGAAACAACATCGGCCACAGCGGGAACTACATACATGCTGGACGGGTTTGGGGTTCATAAAGATGACTAGTTTGATTCTCTCCCACTCACAGATTCTTATATTACATCCTTTCTCCCTCCCTCCTCTCTTTTGTCGACAGATTAGTTTTGATATAATTATGTGAACATGTTGGCACAATACGATTGATAAAAAATCACGGTCATAGTGTGTGGTGACGGAGCCTCGCCCTTCACTCGTAAATTTGGGTGAAATCTTAATTTATACCTCCAAACCACGTGAATTGGAGGACGCTTGTTTACCACTGATCTCTCTGGCTTTTTTTTTTTTTGCTCGCTTCTCGTGTTCAATGGCACTTGACAATCGTTATGACATGACAGGCGAAGGACTATATGTGTGTGTGTCACAGAAATGAACCCTTTCTTGGTTTTACTTTCTCTGTTCTCTATGTGTATAATGTTCTTATTGATCAAGGATATACTTTCACCTTAGATGTCTCGCGCACACGCTGCACATTATGTACACACGTACACGTACACACACACACACACACACACACACACACACACACACACACACACACACACACACACACACACACACACACACACACACACACACACAGGTATAAAAAAGAAATAAATCATAGACTAGTGATCCCGTACAAGTTACGTCAGAAACAAATGAAGACAAAACAAGACCTTTCAGAAGCATTACGACACTACCACACCAACTCCCACTGACATTTTCAACAACATTGACACACAAACCTGTACCGTTATGTTAGGCTAGAATCCCTTCCGAGAACAGGATTATATATTTATATCCAGAAGGTGCGTGTGTACACGGAGGTCATTGTCTGTGGTGGCCTCGTCCCGGACAGGAAGTCAAGGAATACAAGCGCAGCGCTCTACTTTAAGCTTTAAGCTTCGCATACTAGTTTCGACAGCTTGGATGAGGCTATACTTGACTATCGTCGCCTTGTGTTGCATGATAGGATAAAGCTTGTTGAATAACAACTACATTGCATGAAGAAACACGTGGCCTAGGTAAAATCTTTTACCTAGAGGCCTAGGTAAAATCTTTTACCTAGAGGCCTAGGTAAAATCTTTTACCTAGAGGCCTAGGTAAAATCTTTTACCTAGAGGCCTAGGTAAAATCTTTTACCTAGAGGCCTAGGTAAAATATTTTTTACCTAGAGGCCTAGGTAAAATATTTTTTACCTAGAGGCCTAGGTAAAATCGTACACAAAATAGCTTGACAAAGTTTTCCGAGTGTCAAGACTATAAAGAATAAAATTAACGCCTTTTGTCAGGGGCAGGAAACATACATACATACATACATAATATATACACATACATACTTCAGGCTTGTATATAGGTTTTTATCAAGGTCGAACTGATTTAATTACCCGAGGGCCACTATCTCTAGTGACATCAAGATGATGCCGATGGCTTGTCGAAGGTCCTTACCCCCTCATTTGTTGTGATAATTCTGTCCAGCTGCATTTTGAAATTCAGCAGCGTTTTGGCATTTAAGGTTTCCGGCGGGTAGGCAGTTCACCGGGTTTATAGGTGAAAAAAAGCATCTCCTGTTCTCAGAGGAGCCAGACAATGCCCACCTGCCCACCTGCCCAGTTGCTGGGCAGATCTAACGGTCTGAAACTGGCCGACTCACCGTTTTTTTGCTCTGGGGTCCAAAAAGTACCCTCGATTATCCCAAGTTTGGTTGGCTTTTCTCAAGGTCCACCTGTTCTCTTCCTGGCAATAGCAAGGCAGTTGTCAATGAGGAAACTGAGCATACATAGACACATATCTATACTATGAGAGTATGTCTGTGTATGTCTGTTCAAGGTTAGAGGCCAGATGCTTGGGGCTAGGCTCACCCAAATTAACAGAGGGAATGGTCTGGGGTAGGGGATGAACATAGGCTAGTCGGTGTCGCAAGAATTCAAGAGGCAACAACATGACAGGGTCACATTCTGACCCCCGTGACGATTTTTGGCACTGCCTGCATGAACAGATGGGTAGATGAATAGATGACAAATAGATGCACAAGTGGATGGATAGATAGATACATGGACAGATGGAAGACAGACCCGGGCATTGCCAGGTGTATAAATATATATATATATATATATATATATATATATATATATATATATATATATATATATATATATATATATATATATATATATATACTCAAATGCAGCTTGGTGACTTTAGACTAACTAGAGCCAGCAACTCCAAGATTGCAAGACAACTGCAGAACACAGTACCAAATGGCCCAAGTTCTTAAAACAAACGGCAAGTTAATATCGGAGACACGTCAAGACCTTCACTACCTCTCCTTGGTTACGACACACACACACACACACACACACACACACACACACACACACACACACACACACACACACACACCTGAACAAGACATTTCACCTCACATCATCCATCTACAAAACTTAAAATCAAGATTAGGAAATGTCGTCCACGGGGGACAACAAAATATTAGGAGCGTTGCCATTCAACACACAAGTGTGGGAGATGACGATAACAGGCCGCGCGTGCCCCATATTGTTGATATATTTGTAGGCGTGTCTCTGGCACTGGGCCTGGCACTGGGCCTGGCACTGGGCCGGGTCACTCATCATCCTCCTGCCGCCCCGCCCACCCTCCGCCCAGGGGCCGCCCTCCACCACACCTGCACCAGTCACCAGCAGGGGCCAGATTCACGAAAGCACTTACGCAAGCACTTACGAACGTGTACATCTTTCCTCAATCTTTGACGGCTTTGGTTACATTTATTAAACAGTTTACAAGCATGAAAACTTCCCATTCAACTGTTGTTATTGTTATAAACAGCCTCCTGGTGCTTCGGAGCTCATTAACTGTTTAATAATTGGAAACAAAGCCGCCAAAGATTGAGAAAAGATGTACACGTTCGTAAGTGCTTGCTTAAGTGCTTTCGTGAATCTGGCCCCTGGTCATTTCCAGCCAAGTGTTCCCTCAACCAGCGCCTGAGTTGGACCACTATTGCCTTGTACAAAGAGTGGGTTAACTCAGCGCTGCGGGTAACACGTGCTTCGCTTGGTCAAGTAAAGCAACGCCAGATCTGGACAATACATGACAAGCTCGTTGTCATATATTGCCCAGATCACCGTTGATGGGTATTCATGACAAGCCTAGTTGTAAGGTATCGGTAAAACTGAAGAAAGACGGATCAAAACTCATAGGGTTATGGTATAGGGGGGGGGAGAAGGGGGGGACAGCGATTCTAACAAGCCAATTAAGAGCTTTTTGACCCTCCATATCCAGCACCTTATCGGAATAACAGTCATTTACGCGCAAAATTAAATATTTCCTCAGCTGTTCGCTGGAGCGTGTTCGAGGTTAGGTGTGTGTGTGTGTGTGTGTGTGTGTGTGTGTGTGTGTGTGTGTGTGTGTGTGTGTGTGTGTGTGTGTGTGTGTGAGTGTGTGAGTGTGTGTGTGTGTGTGTGTGTGTGTGAGTGTGAGTGTGTGTGTGTGTGTGTGTGTGTGTGTGTGTGTGAGTGTGAGTGTGTGTGTGTGTGTGTGTGTGTGTGTG